AAATACGCTGTACCGTAAAGGAGTAAATTAAATTTTCATTCACGATGCTCAGATGCTTTCTGGCTGACAATCTCTTAATTTTTAGTCTGTCTCATTTGATAAGGACTCCAAATCAAATGCTGTATTATTTTAAGTGCAATTGTCAGCCTTATTTTAACAACGGCTTCTCTCTATTATTTAACCTGAATCCAGGAGGTAATAAGTTCTCAAATACAGAGGGAGTGGCCTGCACTCAAGGAAATAAACTCAAATCCCTTTACTTCTTCAGTTTAGATCAAACTTAGGAGGCACATTTGTCTTTAGCTCTATTTTCTGTAGTTATGCTTATGACAAAATACTATAAGAAGGCAGAACTTTGGTCTTTTGCTACCTGTTTCCTTCCTTGCTTGCTTCCTTCCTTTTTCCTTTTGTCTTTCTTTCTGTTCATCCACCTGGCCACCTATATATCTGTGTATGTTTTAATCTATCATCTATCTATCTATCTATCTATCTATCTATCTATCTATCTATCTATCTATCTTTCTATCCATCCATCCACCCACCTATCTATCTATCCATCCACCCATCTTTGTGTGTGTGTGTGTGTGTGTGTGTGTGTGTGTGTGTAACTATCTCTATCACCGATATAATTTTAAATAGTAGACCAGCTTCTCCAGGACCCCAAAGACACGCCTACTTATCCCTGTTGAGTTTTTAAAAAGAACTACTAATTTACTTCTCTCTTAAACAGCACCTTTTATTTGTGGGTTACGAGTATCAGAATTAAACAGTGTTGTAGCATGTGGCTTGTGACTACAGCCTGAATATGACCAGTCCTGGCCACATTTTATTAGCATTTACCAAGTTACTCTAGTGAGTTCTTCCTGAGGTCCTAAGGTACAGGTATGTGTATGTGTATTGTACACATGTATGTATGTCAACACACATATATATGTATGAATATACATATATATTTCAATTGCAGAGAGCAAGATAATTGATATTATGGCATTTTCATTAGATTGTCTATTAAGTTGAACTTGCCATCACACCATGTTTGTTATACAAAAATAGAAATTGCATGTGGTATAGTCTAATACTGCCAATAAAACTTCAAGATCTCAAAAATCAAACAAACTAAAAGAGGTAGAAAATAAACAAAGCCCAGTTGCTTGCTGTCTATTTTGCTCAGTCTAGAGAGTCATCTGCACTGCCAGGTCTCTAACTGTATGTATAAAGCTGCTAATTTCAGGGATTCTTAAAGGAAATATATCTTACATGAACGAAGAAAGGGTCCCTGGTACCTATCAGTGCAATGGGATCATTATGAAATTTCTGAGTGAACCGCTTTGTATCACTTTCTTCTCGAGCTGGTCTGTGTCTAATTCCCTTCTGTCCTAATGTGGAGGGACGTTCTCATGCACTGGTTGTTAGATGTTAGGATGTCAGCAAGCAGGACAAGCATGACAAATACCTGCCTTTCCGAAGAGATCACATTTTCATCCAAGCTACGTACACACCATAGGTATTTCCCCAAACATTTGTAGCATAATTCATTGAACAGGGAACCCCCCACTCAACCCCCCCATCCCCTTGTTTGGCTGCTCAAAGATGCAACAACCATCAAGTCATAATACACAAAGAAACCAAGAGCCAATCCATAGAGAGAAGCCTGCCCCCAGGCTAAATCCAAGCAAGCCATTCCTCCAGCTAATGTGATGATGGACCTGTCAGATCCAGAATGTATCACGGACACATCAGCAACACCAAGTGGCATGCAATGACCAGATGACCGTCGGCCCCACTGCCATGCTTTCATTGGTTCAAGCTCAGAACACAATCTCCTTGGAGAGTTTGGACAGTTGGCTTTTCATAAATCCAAGTGAGGTTGGAAATAAAGATTTGGTGAGGTCAAGTGCTTACCAAGTATTTCCTAAGTGCCGAGGAGAGATGTTTGCCTATTCCCGTTAAATGCATCAAGGAGACTACCAAATCACCTAGTCCAGTCAGGTCTTTTTCTTTTGGGGAAATCTCTGCCCACACCAGATGGTCTTCGTTCTGGAGGTCAGCGTTCAGAAACTCTCAGGATGCTCCAAGGTAATCAGCATGTGATAGTTTAACCAAGAAAATGATGGGCAGAGAGTTGCAAGCTGCCCGTCAAGGACCTTCTGGGCCGTCCTGAGGTTACCTGAGTTCAGTATTTTCCAAAGGTCCCTGAATTTTTAATTGGGTGAAAGCTTAATTTGTGCTGATAAAAGGTAAAATTCTACCAACTGGGGACACCAAACTTCTTTCACTTTCAAGACATCTGAAATGACCCATGGTGACAGGGCAGGTTGCTGCACTTTCTCTTTGGAACGGGTTGACAACTATGGACATTACCAAAATGTTCTAATTCCTGCTGATTTTACCTCCTATTCTGGAAGGGTTTCTTTGGGTTAAGGAGTTTTCCTCTTTATCTTCTAGAGAACAGGAGCTAAGAATCGATCACTATTGATATTACACTGTGATTGTGTTAAAATAAAATATTAACAGCTGCCCTAAGATAAATTCTAGATACTTGGCATCTTCAATCTAGATTCAAAAGCTATTCTGATAATTTCACCGAAACATGTGTCTTCTATAAAAGGGTCTTTCTTCACTTTACCTGTTTACTAAAAGTAATAGGGAAGACCACCACTTCATAAATACACGTTACAAATCAAACCAGAAATATCATTTTAAAGATTGTTTTCTGGTAATTTACCTATTACTGCATTTACTTCAATGCTATATTTCCATATGTGGCATGTGTCTTGCTTATAATACAGTTAAATAGGGTTGGTAACCAATTTACACAGCAAGCAAGAAGACCTAATGTGCAAATATTTTTAATGAACAGCAAGAGGCCAATTACATGGATAAGACTATTACCACTGAGTTTGTTTCTTCAACTGAAACTATTATACTCAAGTGGGAATTGTAAAGTTATTCAAAATTTACCAATTCAAGAATGAGGGCAATTTTTCAGTAAGACATGTTGCCAATGAGAATCTTAATAAAATTAAAATAACAGGCTTTCATACACATATTTGCATATATGGTGCCCCCAAATGCAACAACATTTAACTTAAGTTTTAGATGAATACAAAAGGAGATGGACAGATCCTCAAGTAATTCTATCTAAGAATAGTGTTAAACACTATTTTTTTAAATGTCTAGATTGGTCTTATTGAAGAACGCAATTTAAATGAGATCTTTGTAATTAACCTTGTTTTCAGCTTGGGGGTAGATGCACTTAAACTGAGAAGCAAGATAAAAAATCCCTCCAAAAATAAATCTGTTTAAGATTCTTATAATTATACGGCAGGCTTAAGTTACTATGATTATAATTACATACAAAGTGGGTGTTTGCAAATTTAGCATCTAGAAATATTTTCATAAAAATAATTAAGGATTGTAGATAAACCACATTACAACTGATACTTGGTGAATCTTTGGTGTGCAGAATTTAATAGCGTTAAGCCTTTTCATTTGTAGGATAATCTTAAGTACTTCAAGATTGTCAACGTTTTTATTAACCTACTGACCCTCTCCTTTTTCCTAATCCAGTGTCAAAGTGTATTGAAGATAGCAACTTACATAAAACCTATTTTTGTAATTATTGGGTATCTGCATAATTTATGTATTTGGATCTGAATCTTGCCAATTGTTTGAATTTCTTTGGAAGCTCCCTCCAGCCTTGAGACCTCGTTATGGTTGTTTTTTAAGAATACAGTAATAATTCCTGCATACAAGCAGAAGGCAGATCTCAACTCCACCTTGCCAAAGAGCCATTTTATTACATGTGTGTGCATGGGGTTTTCAAAGTGCCATTCTTAAGGCTCAGCAATTTCCTTTGCTTTATCAGACCTCAGAAGAATCCTGTAGCCGCAATGAGCTCACAACACGTCTGGGAGGAATGGAATGGAACTGCAGGGAAAGCACCAGAGCAAACCCAGGTAGGAACCCAGTCACAACAGGCCGGGGAGGAGGACCAGTGGCTGCCGACACGTCCCATTCAAGATCAAATACATCTCCTTGCTTACCTGTCTGACCCAGCATGCCTCAGCCACACATGCAAATTGTTATCATCACTGCTTTATTCATGAAACATATTTTTAAATTAAAGGAGTCATTACCCAAAATAAGCACCCTCAGTGACATTTGAGCATGCAGAGCATCTGAACATTCACATTTATGTCCTCGGGAAACAGAGCCAACGCGTTGCATTCAATATGGAAACACACACTTTCTTTTTTCAAGGCACCTAAACAGAAATAGCTGCGGCTTGTCGTTTCAGGAACCGAGTCATCTGTTAAGCCTGGGTAATTGGTCATAAAGCTCTTCCACACCAACCCTCCCCCGCCATCCATTATGACTTGTGAATTTTTTAAACCCACTTCTGTCCCTTCTGCTGCCTGTCTTAGGGTGTGGCGTGCATTACAAATAAAAGTCGGCTTGTCTTAGTAGGATTGGACACTGGGTGTTTCAAAAAGAACCAATCTCCTTAGGAATGCCAGCTACGCCTCCCCCATTCCTTTCTGATGGATTAAATAGTGGTTTTACTGGGTGTAAAGAGCTGTAACAAAGGGAGATGGGGTGCTTGCAGTCAAGGTAAGCCTGCGGGATCATCTTCTGTTTTCTTCATCTGAGCTGGATGAGACCATGGTCTTCCAGAGAAGACCATGAGAAGGCTGCACAGGGAGTGTGCATGTACATGCAAGGTGTGCTGTCGCAAGGGCTGAAAGATCTCTACACAAACAAAACATACCATTTTCTTTGTGTCTTAGCAAAGAGGGCGAGAGTTTGGAATGAACTGGGCCTCGCTGGCCATCCTGTCTCTGTGGGGCCCTCTTTGTGGTCTCACGTGGGACCTAACTTGGTGGGTGCTGCCTACCCAGATGTCATGCATTTGCATCAAGACTGGACACGAATCTCGTCTCCCCACCAGCTGAGTTAATTTCCAAGTGGCTGTCAAGCACAAAAAGGAAGACCCTTACCTGTCACTGTAGGCAGCTGCAGTGGCTGGGGTAGGCTGGGCGTAGCGGTATGCAGCATAACCACCCTAAAACACAAGGAGAAAGTGAACTTAGCGATGCCAAGGAGCCCGACTCAGGGAGGCCCCATGGTGAGACCACACCAGAACAGCGGTGACCCAAATCTACCAGTCTAAAGTGGAGGTTAATGAAAGCTTAGTGTCAGAGCGGAAGAACAAAAACACACACCAGAGAGACAGGGGATTGGAGACCAACTCCAGCCGGATGTTAAAGGTTAGCAGGTGTAAGCATATCCCCAGGGGGAACCCAGGTACCCTTGGAGGGACATGTACCTAAGAGTTAACAGTGATTGTCTTGGGATGGGGAGGATTATGGGGAATTATTTAAATACTCTTGATACTTTGCTGAACTTTCCAGATTTTCAAAACCGATTATACTTTACCTTTACTTATTAACTACTAACTTACATTTTATTCAAACAGTCTTTGATTCCTTCCTTAAAAATCCAGTATAGGTTAAACCACTACCCTCTTGTCTTTTCTATTTATTTATTTTTAACCCCCTTAGAAGGCAAGCTTACTAGTAATCTCTTGCATATATAGTTGTTTAACCAGTAAAGCAATTAAAGAAGACAGTCCTTAGCTTTGCACATCGTACATAATTATTTTTAAAAGGAATGGTAAATGCTTCTTAAAAATTCTGTCTTTTTGGCTAAAGATATCACAGAGATTCGGATGGGGAATTTGGTGTGGAAAATATGATAAAGGATTCCAATTTGTAAATAAAATCATTAAGAGAGAAAAAAATCTGAAAAAATAATTAACATTTAGTTGTATGTACCAGTAATTGCAATTGTTCAATTAAGCAGAGGACAAGCAAATGGGCATATTTGAAAGGAATGTGTTCAGTGGAGCATTGATTATCAAACTGTGAAAATAACAGAGCGTCTTGCTCAGCCGACCACGGCAAGACATCAGCCACCGTAGAATGATCTCAGCACAATTAACAAACAGGCTCCAGGCTCCACTGATAAGACAGGGACCATTCAGGTTCTAATAGGAATGCAGTCCCACAATCCTCTGCGGGGCAACTCGGGACAGGCTACTGTGTCCACGGGCACCTAACAGCAAGACCATGGATGTGCCAGAGGGTACCTACGCATAGAATCGAGAGTAGAGGAGTTTGCTACATTTGGCTCCATATCCTATAGGGAAAAACCAAGCAGTAGGATAGGAGGCAGATGAATGGGGAAACTCAAAACTCATCTTTTAAAATGTAGATTAAACTGGTCTCAATCATTTATTTCTACCTTCTACCACCCACAGCTCACTTTCAGAGGAATTTTGCCATCACTTACGCAGCAATTCTAGAAAGCTAGTTTGTCCTTGCACAAGTCTGTTCTTCGGATCAGTCCTGGAGGAGACAGATCCAAGACATTCTGACAGATAATCAGCAATAATTTGGAGCCAGATAAAAGAAAAAAGTCTCCCTTGAAAAACAATGTAAAAGCAAAAAACACACATACAAAAAAAAACCAACACAAGAAAACACGAGGTCTTAGCCAGACACCACCTGGTGTTCCAAACACCATGTTCTCTAATTAGGAGCGGGGAAACTCATTAAATGTGCTGAGGAGTTGTAAAACCAAAGCCGTTGTCACACCAGCACCACGCTCAGACACAGCCTGGTGGGCTGAGGGGAAAGAGGTCACCAGATTTCTGGAGCCATTCTTTTCATTTGCCTGTCCATCTCCGTGGCTTTCTTGATGCATCCAGAAAGACAGGTGTGCAGGCCTGTGCAGTACACTTAATGAGGGAGGAGGGAGGGGCTGGAATTGGCTAGCTGATGGCTAGGAAGCATTAGCTGCAACCAGCTGAAAGCTTTGAGTGGAGAAAGTGTGTGTGTGTGCATGTGTATGTGCGCATGTGTGTGTGAGAGTGTGTTATTTTTGTCTCTCCCAGAATAATAATAATAAAAAAATCCAGCCAAGATATTTGCATCAGCTGCCATGTCAATCAATCATGCTTTGGTGACTGTGAATTTGGTCCCAGCAAAGATTTTTAGCCTCATCCCACTTGCAAATCCTCTTTGTTTGAACTCTGTACATCTCCCTCAACTTCTGCAGTAGTTTTCGTCAATGAAATTAGGTAACGAGTTTGATGAGTGGAAATAGCTGTGGCAGTGCACACAGAAGGTAACAAACATGAACCTCACTGAGCACCATGCCCATATTTATTGCATGAACCTAACATGGATCAGTGTACACCGGGGATCCATCCGCACAACAGACATGCTCATCTATGAAGCTTTGAGAGGACCCGTTCTCTCCATAGTTGCATATGATTTGGCCACTCAGAGAACATAGGCGTGTGTTTCCATGCAATACCAGCACCAGTGGTCAGTGCCCTAACACTTATCTTTGTTCACTAGGAATTTGTTTAAAAGCTCTCCAGATTCAAGAGTCAAGGCCATCGTTTGCTAAAGTCTGTAGAGCCAGTGTCTGTGCTGTACGATACGGTAGCCACTTGTCAGTGACTATTGAACACTGGAAATATAGCTAGTACAACAAACTGAATTTGTAATTTATTGAATTTAGGTTCATTGGAATGTAAATAGCCACACGGGGCTGGTGGCTACCCTAGCGAGTCCAGGTCTATGTGATCCCTGAAATATATAACAGTTGGGAAAAGAAAAGGGTTAGGTGGCCTAATACCTGCACATCTATCTACTTCATTGCCCTCTGGACTGTTTTTCATCTGTATAAAACCCATATTAGGGGAATAACAGAGTTGTGTATTAACTCAGTGTCTGTGTGCAAATACTGTAAAATTATCAAAAAAATACAAATGGCTTTAATTTGCCTTTCTAACAGGTAACTGTCATCAATTTTATTGCTCCATATTTTGCAGTTCGCTGAGCATAGCCAGAGCTGCTGCAAGGTTCTGTGCTAATGTCTGAAAAAGGAGAGCTCACTTCCATTTGCTGTCACCAAACCGTGTCCATGTTGAAACTGGTCCTCCCAGATCTTAGGACGAAAATGCATCCTTGACAGTGAGATTTTTCCCCACTACCAATGGAAAAAGGGTGACAAGCACAACATAGTTCTCCACTCCCTTCTCATAAAACATACTCATTTTTCACATGCTGGACAGAAGCAAAATATAAATGTGACCTTATATGAAATATAAATTTTAAATAGCCCTTATAAATTGCCCTCCCTCCCCTGCCACCACCATCGGATGGATGTAGCCACCTAAGATACTGGCTCACCGGGTCGGAAACATTTCATTTGTTACCGAGACCCCTGGAGGTCCTTTGGGGGAAGTTACTGATGTGGAATCTCTAGTGATGCCCTAATAAAGTATTTTCAGAAGTGTACTGCTGGGATACTAGTAGTAGCAGGGAATGGGAAGGTACCTGAATCAGCTAGGCTTGGGAATTACTTAATTAAGCACTTATGGAAGTGGTTGCTCTATTTGTGGAACTTAAAGCAATGCTGACGAGCACCATGGATCTCCACTGCATCGCAAAGTAGTTAGACAAAGGGAATCACATTGTTAACTTGAGAGCATCCTTTTTGGAAAAAGATGTTCTACTATCCAAATGGTGAATTACTTGGGGGAGGTGAAACGTGTGGGTGCTGGTGGGGACCTGGGATGGGTGGGACTGTGATGGGCTTGATCACAGACACATCTCCTCCTCTCCAAGAATATCCCAGGATCTCACTTTGTGCAAAGCAGGTAGATCGGTGTATATATAATGAACTCAACATTTTATGTATGAAAACAACATTTACAAGGACATTTGCAAGATGAGACACTTAAATATAAATCATTATTCCCTAATTTATCTGCATTATACATTCAGCTGTTTTTGAAACATGGCAAGTTTTCTTGAAAGGTAAAAATAAAAGTTCATGTCAGGAATTTTAATTAATTTGTCCTCTCTGAGTCTCAAGTACCCCTTTTTCATAATAGAGTTCTTATTAAAATGATTAATTTTCACAGTAAAAAATGTACTTTCTTAATGGACTTAATACTGAACAAAAATGATAATTGCAGGTTATAGGAAAACCCATGTAATAAAACTCCCACTGATTACCCTAGTATTACATTCTTCTTTCATTTTATTTGACAGTTTTAATGTTGGTTTAAGACCAAATTTGGAGACTCAACCATCTACATTCCAATGAATGTGGGGCTCCTTTTCTTCCTGCAATTTTTTCCATTTGGGGGTTGCTTTGGCAGTGAGAAGTAGGTTTGGAAGCTATAGCAATGGGTGTGAAACAAATTTATAAGAACCCACAATGAAACCAAGAAGAAATATATTAGTTATCCTCAATACTAGATGCATAAGAGGTTTTTTTGTTGTTTAACCATTCCAGGTGACTCCTGGAACCTACTAAAATTTTTCTTAGACAATTGGTTCAAAGAAAGAAACCCTAGATTTCTTTTTCACTGAATTTATATTGATTGAGACCAGATGCATTTTAAGAAATGTATAGCCAAGCCAGACCCCCATTTTGATACACTCATGATCTAGCAAAGGGGAAATTTGAGGATGACCATCTCCATTCTTGGAGAATTCACATCAAAACTGGAAAATTCAGTTCAGTCTTTCCTCCTATGTTAGAGAATATCTCCCTCCCTGGAATGGTCTTGTTAGTAAGATTTCACAGCAAACCCACAACCAGAGTGATGAGTTTTTCCACCAGTCAGGATTTCATACCTGTAGCAATTTATTGCCATACACAGGCTCTTGATACACTACTCTATAAGGAAACAGAAATGTAATGTTTTCAATGCAAAAATGAAATAAATAAAAGAAAATGCATAAGTCAGACCGAAATTCCAGAGCAATTCATTTACAAGTTTGCTTCTCTTCACTAAGACCTGGAGTGACCCATGGAACCAGAAGAGGAACCAGTGCCAAACAATTCTAGTTGCAAATTTCTGTAACTGAGAGAATCAAGAAGGGGGAGATGGGATCAAATAACTCACTGATTTGTGTTATAACCCGTGTTTCTTTTTAAAGGAGGAAGAAAAGATATTTTCATGGCTTTTTGCCC